TCTGCTCCATTTCGCACTCTGTTCGTTGCAGTGACATGTACATTTCCTGGGCACAAAACGTGGGAGCACAGAGCACATGGAAAGCCTCCTTGTTCACCTCTCCCATAAACGAGCCGGGACAGCTCTGTGCTTGCTCTCTTGCAGGAGGGCTGGTACCTCCTCCCTTTGCTCATCACACATGAGTCATGAAGGATGAAGGACTCTGTCTTTTACTTCAAAGAATTTAAAGGCAAGCAAGTCTCTACTGTACAACTCCATATGGGAGTTTCAAACAACTGTAACTTTACCAAACTTGGCCATTTAAACAAGGGAGAAAAGTAAAAAGCACCATAACTCTGCCACAAAGACAACTCTACCACAAGTTTCACATCCCTCCGTGAATGCAGAGGCAACAGGTTCTCAAAAGAGCTGTAATTATTTGCAAAGCAGACAAAATAACCTTCCACACCCCCTCTCGCCCATGCACCCCAGCTCTGACCATGGGTAAATGCTTGGGAAGGGAAGATGACAGAGATAGTGGGCTGCTAAGAGTTTTTAAGCCAGTCACAGTAAATACTTCTAGCTGTAGATCAGAAGAGTTAAAGGACCTTCATCTTCGTGTGGTTGGACATTTGCTTGTGTGTGACAGGCCAGGTTTGGCCAAAGGCAGCCACTTTCCTCAAGACACCCATTCCTCAACACAGAAATACGAATTTTTTATTGTTTCACTTAGGAAAGAAAACGTATGCTCAGAGAATTTGATATTAAACTTATTCTGCGTTCGACTTTATTTAACAACAACAGTGGCCGAGCCACCATGTGTGACGTGGTGGCTCCTGAGACATACGGAAGCTCTCGCGGGCAGGTAAAAGATTAATGGGAATGGCTCTCTTTTGATTGATGAATCTGTGACCTTGAGCAACAAGAGCACTTGCACAAAGTATATCTGCCATGTGAGACAGACAAAATGAAAGAGGCTCATATTACTCTCTCAGATCTCATTAAGCGCCCAAACCAGAAACACTAATACTGGCACTAGCCATCTGCTCCAGGGTTTGCCTGGTTACCATTCTGATGACACTTGCATGAAGCAAAAGTTAATCGTGTGCACAGATGAGCAACAGTGCTTTTGCACAGGAAATTCAGGGCAGCATAACAGTTTCTAAAAAAAAAAACCCACATACATGTTTTTACTTCATTCTGTTTTTCTTTTTTCAAACCACACAATCAAACTGACTAGTCAAACAAAACATATTGACATAAAAGGTCATAACTGTAGACTCTTCAAATGTTCTTTTTTTTTAATATATATAAACAGCCTATAAGGTTACCAGTAAGTTAATTTGCCCAATTGCTGTGAATACCTGCTAATTTATACAATGGACAATAATACAGGATTATTTTGTGAGTGTTCTTAGATTATTTTCTCTTATACTCTTTTTTGCTTATCTCAGTTTTTGAGATTAGAAGTGTTTCCTGCTCTTTGGTCTCCATTTGCAACCATGAAGGCCTGTGAACCTTTCCAAGTCTACCGTAATATTACTCCAGTACCCATCTCCAAGGAATGAATTTTCCCTGCAAGTCTTTTTGAAAGACTCATGATCAGCTGAATTTTCTTTGTTGAGAAGCAATTCTTGGAAAATCCTGCAATGCATTCAAAGACTTTACTACAGCTTTTGGGGAATTAGCTCCAGGCAAAACGATACAGTCAATTGAGGCTGTATCTGACCTAGAAAGTATTAACTGAAGAATGTTTGGGACAGCTGGTTATCAGAAATAAAGCATATATAGTGCAAGAGAATGACACAAAGAGCTACTTGAGCTAACTCTAAATGATGGTCAGCTCTACAGGAGCCGGTTTCAGCCCTGGAAGCAGATCCGTCTCTTCTGCCAGAGCCGGCGTTGCATCCAGTAACGGAGCCAGCTCGGATGTCTTGGAAACCCTACTGCATCATGCAGCACGAGGACACCTCAGCTTCTGAGAGCATTGCAGACACGCAATCCGAACAGGCCGAGCAGAAATGTGAGGCATGGCAGGATTATTTGAAGTGCCAAGTGGGTAGGCTTCTCAACCGCGTCCATTTTGTCACCAGGCCTAGTACCATGAAGGTCATTCCTTGCCAAGTGCTTCTTTTGTGGCTTGTTGGAGCAAGATGAGGTGCAGTCCCCACTTTTTCTTTCATTCACCTACGCAGTTACACCTAAACAGGTGAAGCCTCAATTCTTCCTAGATTTCCCTTTTCGGTAAAGGGTCATATTTCTGTGTCAACATTTTCCACTTACCATCCCTCCTGACTAGGTGGTGTGGAACAAATGCACCAGCAACCTGGTGTGTGTGTGTGTGCCAAAAATATCAGCAATATTTTGACATTTAGATTTGTGACAATCACAGGACACCCGCTCCATCTTGAGACCACTATTTACAATTTCGACTCATGCTGCTCCACTGATTCTTTGTTCCCCACATCTCCACTCTCGCTGTAAACACTTCAGGCACCGTGGTGGTTGTAACAACACCCTTTATTTTTAAAAGATCTTGGTGTACAATCATTAACCGGTTCAAATGACCCAATGAGCAGCCTGACCCCCATCCCACGCACGCTGATGGTGACATTTCTGGTTGTTGTTTGCTGTCCATACAGATGTCAGCGGCAAGGGACACTGGACATTGCTTTATTGTTAAAGATGCCCATGTAGAAGAAAAGCTCCCCTCATAAACATCATTCAACACGCGATTTATGTTTCGTCTGAGTACATCGTGCTCCAAGTCTGGGTCCTTATGGATGGAGGAGATTTAAAGTTGATAAAAGAAGTGGTTGTTTCAAGCAGGCCTCCTGGGCTTGTGCTGGGAGCTGTTTTGCTGGCATGGGTTGACATATTCCTGGGTTAATATCTGAGATACGGATGAAATGCTCATATGTCCCTGGGTTAATATCTGAAATACGGATGAAATGCTCCGTATTTGGATGGAGTGTTGGGCTCGCTCCATCCCGCGGCTTCTCCAGGCCGGGCCGAAGCCGCCTCACCGCCCCCCCCAGGGCGGCCCCAACCGCCGCTTCCCGCAGCGCCCCGATCCTGCCCGTTTTCTCCCCAAACCCACCCGTCCCGCCGCCGTTCCCCCTCCTCCCCAAAGCGCCGGGGCCCCCCCGGGGCGCGGGGTGTGGGCGGCCGCGGCGGGCGGGGCGCGGGAGGCAGGGCCGCGGGAGGCAGGCCCGGCCCGCCCGCCGCCACGGCCGCTGCCTCCGCCGCCAACACCGCCATCGCTGCCGCCGCCGCCAGCGCCATGATGCTTGTTTGCTTTCAATGAGTGTGAGGAGGAGGCGTGGGGGGGCCGCGCTGCCGTCCGGCCCGCCGCGCCACACAAAGAGCCGGCCAGGCGGCGGAGACGCGGCGCCGGGGGCGCGGGGATGCGGCAGCCACAGGTAGGGCCCGCCGCCGCCCCCGGCCCGCCGCGGGGCTCCTGCTGCCCGTTAATGTCGCTATTTGGGGGGGATTAATGCCCGGCGCGGGGGGGACAGCGCTCTGGGGGAGGGGAGCGGCGCTGTTATGGCGGAGGGAGCTCCTGGATCCACTCAGAGTTTGGAGGGGGCGGCGGGAGTTAATGGAGGGGCTGCCCCCTTCGGCTCCCCTGCACCCCCTGCGGCTGGGGGGGCCGAAGGGGCTGTTGTGGCGGCGGCCGCCGAGCCCCTCCCGGCGGAGGGCAGGGCAGGGGGTGCGGGCCCGGCCGCGGGCGGCGCTGGAGGCCGCTCGGTGCCGCCGCCGCCGCTGGGGGGCCGCGTTGGGGCCGGGGGGGGCGGCGCGTCCCGCCGACGGGCAGGTAAACAGCGGCGCGGCGGGGGCTGCTTGGCCTGGGGCGGCGCGAGGGGCGCGGAGGAAGGAAAAAAAACCCTCCCGCAGGCAGCGGGGAGCCCCGAGTGTTTTTTTTTATTATTATTATTATTTTTATGTTATTTACAACGGTGCGATCGAGTTTCAAATAAACAAAGACGGGGGCAGGAAGGGGGGGGGGGGGGAGGGGGATGGCATGGAGCTGACGGGCGCGCGGCCGCAGCGCCGCTCCCCGCGGGCCGTCGCGCGGCGCCCCCTCGGCGGGGCGGCGGGGGCCGGCGGCGGCAGCGGCCTAGGCCGAGGCCGGAGCGGCCCTGCCAGCCGAGCGGGGGGGGGGGGGGGGCGTGACGGACGGCGCGGGCAGCCAATGGCGGCGGGCAGGGGGCGGGCCTTGCGCGGCCACGTGAGGGCGGGGCGCGCACACATGCAGGGGTAAACAGAGGGGAATTGGGACGGCGGGCGCGCGCCGGAAGGGGCCGCTGGGCCCCAATTGCGCTAATTAGGGGGCATTTGGCTTTTGTTTTTAATGGCGCTCATTAGCTGCGCCCCCGCACTTGCCCGAAAGCTGAGTTTGGATGGGAGGCGTCTGGTGCGGCCTGCGCGGAGGTGCGGTAGGAGTTGTGCGGGCCTGGCTGCCTCCTCTCCTAGAAAGCCCTCAGAGCCCCCAGCTCGGGCGCTCCCTGAGGCCTTAGCCCCATTTCTTACACCTCTGTACTGCCAGTGTGTTTTGTCAGCAACTTTTTTTTTAAAAAAGAATGTTAAAAATGTGTGCTGACTTATTTGGCTTTTTGCAATATGGAAAAATATCATTGGAATGAAGTAGTAGTAAAGGTGGCCTAATATTTTTATTACTAAACCTCTGTTACAGCTGGACCTCTAGTTCAGATGCACATAAAAAGAATGCATTGCTGAAAATACAAGCTTGTAGGCTGACATTTTCTTTGTGACTAGTAGGTTTTTTGGTGTTCTTTTTGGATTTTTTTTTTTTTTTTTTTTTTTTTGGAGGGTTACTTTCCTAAGCTAGGTTGTGCCATCACAGGTAGCAGTAATGCAAAATTTGGGGGTTTAAGAAATACCTGTGGTATTTATTTGGCTTAAATATGAAGATATGCAAGCGTTGACTGGTAATTGCATTGTATTTTTTTTTTCTTTCCCCTTTCACTGTTCTAGAGCGGGTCTCGTAATTGGGAATTTATCAACATTTCCACTGGGGTAATTTTACAGGATTATCCACCCTCTGTTCTTCCTGCTGGTTCATCTGGACTCTGTGGAGTTTGCTGCTAGCAATGAAGCCTTCTGTGAGGGTTTATTCATGTTATTACTGAAATGGAGCCCTTCATGTTTGGATTAACTCTTTATTCGCTTTGCATCTGAATTGCTTGGAGCAGTCCATTTGTAAAAAGGATTCTACCATGCATCTCTTCTCTGTTTGCATATTCAGCTTGAACTCTGAGTACGGTTTTGATGTATTCAGACTGCTTGCTTCCTCTGAATGTTAGAGGAAGAAGTGAAATATATAGATGAGACTGTAATTTTGCATGGACAGGTAAATACTTTTGACATTTTCTATATATAAAAGTATGTCACAAAGGGTCAAAAGTGGAGCATGGTACTCTTAGAGTAAATATTAGGAGGACTTATTCTTCTTTAGAAGTGCGATGTTTCTAGTGAGACATTTCAAGTGAGTGACCCAAAAATGAATGAGCCAGCTAAACGCTGTTTTCCAACTCAATGCAAAAAGCATCCATTTTATAAAGCATGGTAGTAGAAACAAAAATAGGCTGGAATCTATCACTAGGAACACCAAAATGTCAAGTATTTTTGTTTGTAGTGCAGTGTGTCTTATTTGGATAGCCACCGTGCCCAGGAGGCCAGGCGGTGAACCCAAACTCTGTATTCCTGTGCCTGTACAGCACCTGCTATGCTGCAGCCAGCAGGCCTGCTGCAGAGGCTGTAGGCCCCCTTCTGTTTGCTAGCCCCTTGTTATGTTGTATATTTTGGGCTATACATGTGTGCATAGGCCACTTGTACCATACCATCCCTTGTTCAGAGATGGCCTCTTTTAAGTGACTATTATGCCCAGGCCATATATCTATGCATGAAAGCTGCTTTCAGTCTAAGGAATCTAAGCGCATATTGTTTTACAAGAATTAGTCCCATATTCTTCTTGTTAGGAGAAATGTGCAGTACCTTAAGGTAATAATTAGGTATGAGTTGGAACATTAAACTCCACGAGAATAATCTCTGCAGACCCTGGTTTTAGTCCTAATTGTCTGAGAGCAAGCTTCACCATTGTCGTGTGGCAAAGTATATCTTTTTGTGTTTTTTTCTTTTTGATCTGTGTATTATAAATTGTCTTATAGGTCTTATGAATTGCTCTTTGTTTGTTTTTTAAAAAAGTTTTGTACTTTAATTCTCAAACTGACCGTAGGATTTGCCATGTTCTATGTTTCCTCTTTGATATCGGTGCTGCTCAATTAGAAGTGATGGGTGTATAAATAACTTGTTTTTACGTTACTAGCATTGTATAAAGTCACATAAAATATGTTCCCACATTGAAATTAGGTTGTAGAAGTCTGCTGAACAGGAAAGTTTGGCATTAACTTTGGTTCCTGCCTTCACAGTTGCTACATGGAGGGATTTGTGCAATTAAAACCTTGTAGCATTTACAAATACTTAGGCAGATCCCTTAGAAAAAGCTGTTTAAATGCTTAATGTGCACTTTTGAGCATTAATAGTGCTTCCAAGATGGTGCTTGCTTAAAAAAAAAGGCAACAATGCTATTTTCTTTTTTTCTAACACTGCAGCTTTTTTTTTAAAATACCTCAGAGGCCTTTATTTAGTGAAAGAATCAAGGAGAGATGAGGAACAGAAAATGTATACATTGTTGTTTATCTTGGAAATGAAATACTTGCTCTTAGGATTGCAGTTGATGCTATAATAGAGATCCGCAGAAGGAATTTTTTTTGGTTTGTTTGTTTTGTTTTAGATGGGAACCCCTGTAGCTATTTTCTGGAGGCTGTCACCTGGGTGTAGGTGGACAGAGCTCTGATGTTGTGGTTCTTCTCCCCTGCATCTTAATTGTGTTCCTGATGTGCAAGCTTAACTTGGCAAGTTAAGCAGCTTCTTCTGTTAAGCCTGTTCTAAATATTTTATACTGTTTTCCAATATCAGCATCTCCAAGGCCTCCCCCAGCTCTTGTTATGGAGGGGAGAGAAGCTCAGTGTCAACTCAAAGACCAGGGGTTTCTGGAGCTGCTGAGCCAATCTGATGGTTCATGCTGTTAGGATACTTCATCTCACCATAGCTAGACCATGATGCATACCATAATGTACTGCACACTGCAAATAATCTATGTAGCTTTACTGCCTTAGATATTTTGGAAATCTATATTAATGAGCACAGTACTTATCCTGTAGTTTCATCTGACTTTAAGTGGAGCTGTACAAGAGCACCCCTCGGCATGGATCAGCGTGCTGGGTCAGGGATCAGATGCAGCCCTTTCAGAACTGGCTGCAGTTCACAGACAGTTTTTTTTTTTTTTTTTGTATGTATTTTGGAACACATTGAAAGGACACCTACAAAGACAGGAAGGCTTGAAACTAAACAAACAAAACTGTGTTTGTGGGTATACAGTCTGATCTCTATCACCTGTCAGAACAAGGAGGCTGCATAGTAGATGGCTAAATACTAAAACATATTAAGACATTTTATGATGGACTCTTAATACCGTTAATACTTTTAATAATTTCTTAAGTTTCAGAGTCACCTGCAGTTAGATTACCTGCAGTAGTAAAGACAAAGCTAATCTTTTTGGGGGTTTTGTTTAGGCTCTGCTTTGCTGAGGAAAGTCAGGAAAGAACCCTTTCTGGAGACTGATTTTTGCAATAATCATCAGTCATGGTGTATGGGAATGGGCTGGATATACACACACGCTTTTGTTTTTTTGTTACTACTGATATGCCAGTGGGGAGTAAGATACTAAGATACACTAAGTACATACATTAAGTGGTATATGAGGGCTTTTTTCCTGTGTTTAAGATGGGGAAGTTGCTTTGCTATTTTGCTGTTTGCTCATTACCTGCATGCAAGCTGTCAATGCAGCCATCTTTGCATTACTATTTACAGCCAGCCAGTGAGATGACAGCTTTTTTTTTTTTTTTAGCATTATTTTTCCTAAAGAAACAAACAAAACCCCAACACCACCACAACTCATTTCCGTACCTGGATGATGTCATTGTTCTGGTTTACAGCATTGTCTCTCAAACAGCATGCTCAGCTGTGCACTGATACAATTGAGGGCATGGTGAAGCAGGACACAGCATAGGAGGGGGGGGAAAAACCCTCTCAGTTTGGTTTTGCTGCTCCAGAGGGTGGTCGTGGAGCAGCATCAACAGCCTTGACTGAATTGGAAGTGAAAACAATCTATGAATAGTCTTGCTGCTCATATCAGGATGTGGCTAGATGGGTACAGCGTGAGCTGTGTGAACTAGTTCTGCAATAAGCTGAGCTGCGCTTAGCTTAGCACCTCTAATATTTACTAGCATTTAAATAGCTGATAGTTCCTTTTTGGGAAGGGGAAGTGTTTTCAAGTTGGATACTCGGGTCTTTTTGTCAAGCTTTCGTTCAGGTCTATGGCAGGAATACTGACAGTGAACTAATGAGTGAATTTCACCCAAAATAATTGGGTTTTGTCTTGCCCTCAAAGCTCGTTCCATTGCAAGACTGAGAGAGCAGAATAACACTTTGGTGTGGTGTGTGGTAATTTGTGTTTTCACCCCGAAACACCGAAAGATGAAAATCATTCTGTTTATGCGTAAGGACAAACGTGATAAGAAAACTTAAGAGTATAAATGTCGGTATTCCAAGTGGCTTACAATGTGATTCGGACCAAGATGATGCATTATGGAGTGTTCTTTCTATTCTAAATGAAAAAAGTTAATTAGTTTTATGAATAATCATAACTGCATTATCAAATATGATATCCTGGGCATAACATCTCGAATAAAAGCTAGTGTTGCATCAGTGTCCCAGAGCATAAGGCCATTTCCAATGGCTTTCTGAGGATATTTGTTAGTGAAGCTGTTGAGCCTTGCTCTGAGCACCTATTTGCTTTTTTAAAACTTGAGGCTCTATTTTAATGTAACGCCTCAATTCAAAGCTGATCTTTTAGGTTCCATCTTATTTATACAGTATATAATTATGTAACGTAAGCAAGTTCTTAATGTGATTAGTTAACCTGGTCTTTAAATGTATCGATACTACAGAATATGGTAAAATATTCAACATTCAGAGTTTCCTGTTTTCTAGTACTCGCATTAATGTACGTTTCTAATATTGCAGCCTAAGTATTTCTAGAGATACCATATAAAGGTCAATTCTAGCTTTCAGTTTGGTTTTGTGTTTGTTTTGTGTGTGGCAGCCTTTTACTATAGGCATGATTATGTATAATTGCTATTAAGACAACTCGTCTAGTCATCTGGACTATGTGTTATGCTGAGAACATGTGGATGCTATTTCTAATGATTAGATGCGCAGGATAAGAGGCAGGATGGTTTTGACGTAATTAGGATGTTGTCTTTCAGATCTGATGTAAAGATGGAGCAGTCAAGGGCCTGTGTGTTCAAACAGCCTTTTGGTGCTTCCTTGAACAGCGAAGGGCTCTTCTGAGCCCAGACGGGCCTTACACCAACCACATGTGGAAGTGAAAATTGCTTCTCTGCCACTTTTGGCACTTGTGAAACTGAGAGATGAGGTTTTTCTGCCCTTTTCAGAGTTCAGAGGTGGATTCCTCTCCTCTTTGTTAAAATAGTGACTTGTAAGATGCTCATGTGTGAGCAGATGATGGTGGTTGGTGGAGTTAGAGGGTGGTGGTGCTGCCTACAGGAGGTTTAGAAAATGGCAATTCCCCCACCGCACACCTCATAACTACGGAGCTTGTGTTCCTATCAAGTAGGAAGACAAGCGAACTTGAATTGCATTTGAAATGCCCAGAGGTTAAAAGCTAATAATAGAGTTATGTTAAAAATAAGAATTGACTGATTCTGATTTTAATGCAACTTGGAACCAGGTCTGGAAGATGCCATGCAGTTCTGTTGTCTAATCACATCGTCTTCCGTGGAAAATGGCAAAAGTATCCTCTAATTTTTATGACGCAGGCAGTCTTAGGCAGATGGTTTGTTTTTCTCGTAGAAGGGCTATGTCTAGTTTTAGTCAGCTTGAGTTAGGCTAAGGACTTTTCAGGACTCCACTGTTTTTAAAAGACTGTTAAAATGGTTTTGTTAACCTTTTAAAGTTGCTGTGGTAGAATTTACTGATATGCGAAAGCAGGTAACTTGATTTTATTTGATTAATTATAGCTCAGGCAGATTTGCATGAGCTTGTGTAAATTGATTTGACCAAGATCTTGTATTCACATATTGCAGAGCCATAATGTATATTCATATTTAACTGTATTATCTAAGTCAGCAAAAGAGGAAGGGTAAGCTGTGGTTTTGTATTGGCAGTCATGTGAAATTCTAGTTTTAGAACTCCTCAAAATTCGAT